GAAAGAATCTTCCCAAATACTGAATTCATCACTGGATGCATTTCAAAAGCAGAGTCATTCTTTAAGAGAGCTATTTTACCAGAGTTGCTAGGGAAATTCTTTTCTCATGCACCAAAGGATGCAGTACAAACGGGCAAAGCTGATGTATCAACTACTGAACCAGTATACTGTTACTGCCAACAGCCAGAGAGTGGTCAAATGGTAGCATGTGATAACACCACTTGTCCATATCAGTGGTTTCATTTCGCCTGCTTGAAATTATCTGCTCCTCCATGACGAAAAATCTGGTACTGTCCAGATTGTAGAAAGAAGTGATTATAGTTAATTATAGTGTTTTCATTATTATTATACTGTTAAATTATTGTGAGTATTAGTGCATTATATATACAATACATAATTATGATTATCTAATCAAGAGGAATTAGTTTAAGCATAAACTAAGTCACTCCCATATTCTCGCTCGCTAGCTAGCTGTGCTGTGCCTTTATACTGTTCCCAGGCTCCTCTTTCAAAACCAAAACAAGAATGAATATGTATTTGTTGTGTGTGGACAATACTGAAAGTCAATGCAGTACTAATTAGTCTAGTCAGTTTCCAGGTCTTCAGGTGTCATGCACAGCCTGAGTAGTCAACTATTGCTTCATCTGTTTCTTTTTTCTCTTTGTCACTGCCAGAGCTACCTAGATCAATCAATCAGCGTTTCTGTTCCAGCTCATTAGCTCCTAAAAAGGCTAACTGTTAACAAAAGTCATGACATTATCATTGCACTTGTACTCCGAGTTGTACTCCAACATGGCGGATGTGATAATTGGCCACGCCTACTGCAACCTATCTATAGGAGTATTCATTTGAAACTCATCCACACAGAGAACTTCATTAAAGATCAAGTCAAAATCCTCACTATCTTCATTGCTGATGGCCATGCTTATTCACATGTGTAGATTGTTCATTATTATGCTTTATGAGTCATTTCCGGAGCCAAGAGCATGGCACATTAATATCACTTCCTGTTTCTTATCCATGTGTGTATGTAGTATCTATGCCCGACCTACGGTATATCTCTCGCTGGGGTGTTATAACATATACTTACACAACAGCGGGCAAATTACATGTATATGTCTGCCATGAAAAAATTTTTATTCATGGATATCATCCATGAATTAGCTAAGATCCATTAATAAACCATTTTAGCTGTTCTGAAAATCATTGTTTTGGCCAAGTTTTGACTAAAATAGACTATGAATTTTTTAATAAAAAGGGGAGAAATACATGTATACTTGTACATGTATGTTCATAATCATGTTGTTTGTACCTGTTGCCTTAGAGGCTCCCTCTCTATAGTACAGATCCACTTACTTTATTTATTTTACTAACAGTTAGTTCATTAATTGGTGAATGTTGTAATGAGAGGAGAATATAACGAGACACCAGCCCATATCAAACGCTAACTGGTACAACACACTATCAGGTAGTAACCCTTGACAACAGAGGATGTTCCCTAACAACTGATTAATAAAGACAATAGTTAAAAATTATTTAATAAATATTTTTGAGCTATGGCTATTCAATAAAATTGGCCAATTTTTGAAAAAATACCTACTATAAGATGTCTTCGGGGGTCTCAATCTCAATATATACACATGTCTATTGACTCATCTGACTTTAGTAGCATAGGCATTTTGGCCACACCCACTTTTCCCACGTATTTTGGGTGTATACTAGTGATGGGCGAATCCAGAAATTTGCATTCGATTCCGATTCTGAATACTTCTGAGACTGGAATCGAATACCGATACTACATCTGCGCATGCGCAAAGCCACGTGGTATCAATTACAGCAATAATTAAGGTATTAACTACTGATTTATTAACTATTATTAATATTAAAAGGTGCGGTTGGGTGTGGTTTGGTTCGGAATCGTTTCAAACGATTCCTACTTCTCTTTCGATACGAGTACGATTCCATTCGGAATCGAAGGATCGAATACTCCGGACTCGGAATCGCCCATCACTAGTGTATACTCAACGCACTCATACAATATGATATAGCATAAAAATTGAGCCTAAAAGGCCCCCTATCTTATCTGTAAAGCTCTATCCAACCTGTAAAATGCTAGTCCTGTTCCTCCTGGAAGGCTTGTTGACAAAGGAAAGCAGAAAAGACTGTCTCTTGTTAGCTATGGTAATTATTTATGACTAAAAATGATGTCATTAATTAAATTTTCATTTCCGGCCAAAATTTTTGGTCGGGCATTGCCCATCCATGCCCGACCCTGCCGCCGCCTATGTTTAGTAGAGCTGCATCTGAGGCTCATCTAAGTATTGCACATAAAATTTATTTTATTTTATTTTATCTTATTTTTTCCTAACCTAACCTATTTTTCATTATTACTTCTCTCCAACTTCATTAATTTTGTTCCCTACTCATGCTGTGTCTTTAAATAAAGATTCTTATTGTACTGTAAAAAAGGCTAAAGCCCATGGTTTTTCTTTGAAATGGCTCCAAAATCAAGCCCAATTTTTATTACATTTTGATACATATTGATGACACTATGCTGTGTAGAAAGTTTGAGCTAATTCCGACAAATGTTTTTTGAGTTATGACCATTTCAAAAAAATTAGCCAACTTTTGAAAAATACCCAAGGCTATAGCCCATTTTAAAAATAATAATAATAATCTTTAATAAAGTTAAAAGTATGAACAGAAATCAGTAGATACTATAAAGTGAAGTTGAATGAAAATGAGTAATAATTATTATTAATTAATTTTTTAAAATTACTGACACTAAACTCGAGCATCATATTCCATGGTGTTTTCAAAAAATGGCTCTAAAATCATCCCCAATTTTTATTACATTTTCAGATACATATTGCTGTGTAAAAATTTTCTTTATTTTTCCTCCCTTCCCCTCCCATTATATCAATGGTTTCCCTTACCTTCATTGATTTCCAATATTGTCTTTGATAGAAACTGTATGAATGAGTATTGGTGGCTTCTAACTGACTACAAATAATTAACAATTAAATAATTAACTACACAACTGTAATATTAAATAGTAATACTAAATAAACTGGTGGATGCGGTTGCACTGAATAAAAGTACATTTCCTTTTGTTTCATTCTTCACATACATGGCTATTGCTAAACTGCTAATGCATTGCTAAATTTTAACAAATCACCAAATATAATTCCAATCAAAAATGAATTATATATGTCTTTATAATTCATAATTATCAATACCTTTTATTCATTAGTGGTAATAAAAATTTGTAACATTTTTTTGTTAAAAATAATGGTAAGGATCAGTTTATTTTTATTATGCTAGGCATTCTAATGGTTCAATTTCAAAAAGAAATGTTTCTGTAATTCTATAGTAAGGTAAATGTCATATTTGGCACAGAATCACAATTAGAGGCTCTTTCAAATTTGTACAACATAACATCAAACATCTCTACACTACACTACTGTATACATGCATTTGTTCAAATTTTTGAGTGTTTAAAAATTTTTTTCATAAAAATGTGCTCAAAAAATAATGTTCATGTAAGCTAATTTTTGTGTTTTGTGAATAGTATAGACTCTATATGCAATAAAAAATAGCATTGGATGTGGTTTAAATCTGAAGGTTTAAGGAGAACGTGAAAATAACAGCAATTAGGACACCACTACAACTACCACATACAACATGTGAAGTAACACAAAACACAACATTTCATGTACCCTGAGCAGCATCTTAATAAAAGGTACTAATGACTGATGACAAAAAAGAATATTAATAATAATGTTACATGTGTATTTGAGTAGAAGAGGTCAGTTTTGGTTTTGCATACTTTCACAATAACAAGTATCCCTGGCTAGTTGTCAGCCAAAACATTAGTAGTAACAGTAGCAACTAATGGCATCTGAAATTCACAATAATTTTGACCAGTAGTAGTAAGTAAATTCATAATAATTTTGACTAATAAAGCTCCATCATGTTATAAAAGCAGTAGCTGTACACAAACACTCATCACTGGTAACCTACAGTAAAAGGATTGTTCAGTATTAGTTCTATACAGCAAGTCAAGACAAGATGGATTCCTGTTCTTATTTTAAGCTGATAGGATGCTTCATTCTTATTAGCATTGCTACTGCACAAGAAACACAGGAAGCATGTAAGTCATACAGTCAATAATAATAATAATTAGACAAATCTGTTTTATTGTAGGTTGTCTCCCTCGTGACTGTAAGGAAGCATATGAAAATGGTAAAGTATGCAGTGGAGTATATACTGTGAAACCTGATGAACTACCAGCCTTTGAGGTAAATATAATTTCAATATAAATAATATATAGAACCAATAATAATGATGACATTTTGATGTCCTGACTATGCAAAAGTACCTCTGAAACGAGGACACCTCTGTTTTAAAGACAGGTAGTGTGGGCCTATATAATACAGAAGCTACATTGTACATGTATATAACTTATATTCAATAGGTCTATTGTGATATGAGTAATGGAGGTGGATGGACTGTATTTCAAAGGAGAATGGATGGTTCTAATGACTTCTACCTCAACTGGGCTGACTATGAAAAAGGATTTGGAGACCTCAATGGAGAGTTCTGGCTGGGACT